TGACCTTTATTGTCATATAGATATAGCTCTGATATGGGTTAAACGTTTTATCATTTTTATACCCAAAGATTTATAGGCCTAGCTATATCGTCACCTTAGAATTATAAGGTTCTATTTGACATTTCTGTCAAAATTGAGTTATTCACATATTCTTATTAAATGACAGCTTGCTTACATTGTGATTTTTTTTTAATTTTATTTAAAAAAACAAAAAAAGGTTTTATCTATAAAGTTGAACTCTTGCTTGGCTCTGTAAGGTTCTTTCTGTAAGCCAATCAGCATTTTGAATGCAGGCACTTGGGCCAATCAGCTTTCTTTGTGATTTTGACTGCTTCATTGACAGCAGGAAAGACCAGAAAGAAACACAAAATCAGTGTTGACTAAATAATGCCGCACCACACAAAATTGAGAAGAAATCTGAAACTGAAAAGATGTGTGTAAATGTGATGATTTAGAAATATTTTTTGACATTAAAATGAAATGTTGAATTTTACATTGTTGAAATAGAAACGGGTCATAAATATGTAATATATTAAATGTAAACTATTTTTATTTGTGTATATATAGTCAGTGAGACATTTTCAATGTTATTAAGCACACTTGCTCATCGTTTTCTTTTATAGTCTTTAAATTTGATATTAAGGCTTGAAAAGCAAATACTTTAATTCATTGGACATAATTTAATAAATAAAATTCAATAGTTCATATAAAGCATACAATTAAATAAAATTGCCTTATTAATTACATTAAATTAAGCTGCACTGGATAAAATATTTAGCAGCTTTGTATGCTTAAATTGAAGAAGAAAAAACATTAATCATAAACCATTAAAAAAATGTTATAGTAAGCAAAATGTAACTTTCTCAAGTATCAACACATTGTCACAACGCCAACTGATTTTTTTTTGTGATTGTATTTCTTGATAAGTAGTCTTTTAATTAATGATCTGCCATATAGAACTTTATAATTCTACACCAAAAATGACTTTTTTTTTTTTGAATTAGAAGGTTCTCTCTTAAGTTTCCCTGTTTGTTTTACCCCAATTTGCAAATGTAAGACAATTTTAATCATTTACATTTAGAGTACATTTAGGGTCTCTGTCATGTTAATGTTTGAAAGAGAACTGTTACACGCATATTGTTTGCTTTAAGGAATGCCAAAACTTTGAAGCTCAATATCTCAAATTAATTTAGAACGCAGATAGAACCTTATACTGTAATTTCAAAGGTGACGAAATGTCAAAAAATTTATGCTAATAGTAAATTTAGTTCAACAATAAGCTACCACATGTTCTATGTCCATCTATCCATGATATATAGCTGTATAAAATCTTTGGGGAAAGTCTTGTAACAGGATACACCAGATGAAGTACGTTATAATGTAGCGATACAGAACATTAAACCTTACTTTGAGCTGCACATGAAGCGAAGTTGTTACAGATAATGCCCTCTACTGCCATCTTGTGAACATTTACCCGGATTTACCCAAACACGCGGCGGAACAGCAGAATCTGAAGGTCAGGTAAAACCGATTAATTTTTGAAAAAGGTTTGTTCTGATAGGGGTTTTGTTGTACTTCAGTAAACACTCGATATTATGGCATATTTTGCTGATGTTCAGTAGGCTGCTTGTAGACTGCGTTTAATAAAACCCACTGAGAAGAGCTAAATTCAGAAACAATTGTTGTTAACAAAAAGTTTAGGCTATTCTTAGATTGTTGTTTTGTAATTTGAGTGTGGTTGTTGGCATGTTAAGAATGTTAATCCGCACTCAGACTCCACGTTTAGGTGTCTGACAAAAGTATTAGCTAAAACAATTACTGCTTTGATAACAATGTCAAAAACAAGGTGTAAACATGCAGATGTTGCATTTGTTTGAACCTTGTTTTTGACATTGTTAGCTTTACATTAAATCCGAAAAGCACAGTAATTACAGACTCTAACTTAAAAAAATACTATAGTAATTTGTAGTAAATATACAGTAGGGTGCAATCCTCAACTGGGTGACACTACTAAGCTTTCTAGGACTGGTTTGTTATAGCCTGCTACAATACACCACAATACAAACGATGATACAGTATTTATTGCAGTTCATCAGTTGGGTATAGTAATTATAAGTTCTTATTTTGTATGTGATTATTTAGATTAAAAAATAAAAAAAAATACTTTTTTTGTGAATCAAATAATGCCATATTGTTTACCACAAGTACTACTATACAGTTTAAAACATTAGACATGGGCCAGTATAAGATTCTGACAGTATGATAACCTTGTACACTGTACAAAAATGCAGGGTTCCACACAATTCATTCATGTTGTCCCAACACAAATTGATTAAGTTAACTTAACAATTTTAAAAAATTTAGGTGAATTGGACATAATAAATTAAGTTGTTGTTCCAATGAAATCTCAAGAATATTGTTGTTTCAGCTCATTTTAAATAAGTAGTTTAAACAAGCAAAAAATATCATTATCAAGGTTTTGCTGTATTTTGATTACTGCTCTAATACACATATTTTTTTTAAAAATGTCGGGGTAAAAAAAAAAAACTTTTTTCCACTTTGTACACTTTTTTTTTGTAGAAGCATTTCTTTATTTCAGTATTTAGCTCCAGTATAATGGAGCAGTAAACATGTCAGGCTAAATAATTCAAATAAATCATAGAATAAATATAAACACAGATTTCGTTACATGTGAAAATGGCATGTTATTTTTTTCTGCTGGATATACCATTATCTCAAACAACAACAAAAAAATGTAAAACAAAAAAACAAAAAACACATATATCATAGGCAGGGGCGGATTTAGTGATTTTGGGGCCCTAAGCGATTCCAGCCAAAGGGTCTAAAATGCACCATTTCTACTTTTATTTAATATTTATTTGTATTCCTTTTTTATATTACTTAATCTTCTTTTCGATGTTTATTTTAATGCAATCTCTACATTTTTAATGATAAGCTTTCTTTAAATTAATTTACAATTTTAAATAATACATATTTATGTTTATAAATTTGACTGCTGGACTGCTCCATGATGGATGTTTTATTTTTTAATATCAGTATTACATAACATTACATTCTTATAATAATATTATATTAGATTGTATATTAAATAATATTTAACTGTGCTAAATTTATATTTGTTTTTCTCTCACAATAAAAAAATGACAGAAAACAATGTTATATATTAATTATAGGTTTAATCTATACTTTTAGATATTTATTACTCCCCCCAGAATTCCTGGGTCCCTAAGCAGCTGCTTACCTGGCTTATTGGTTAAATCCGCCCCTGATCATAGGAACGGTAAAACAGAAAATTTTGGTGGTTTTAAAACCTTGACTGTTCCAAACCACCTTGAAAACTGTTATCGTCCCATACTACACTTTACTACAGTAAGGCTCAAAAACACTTCAGTATATTTATGTTGGTTAGACCAGAGGTTTTTCAATAAGCACACTTTTACATTAGATTTTAATCTTAAATCACTAATATTACTATCATTTCCAGCTTACACTAGACAGTTTAGTCTCACTATTTAGATGGTTCTTTTTTTTTTTTTTTTTTACTTACACTGCATCTACATGTCAACTAATTCTCATTAAATTATAAGTAGACTGTCACGTTGGAGTTAGTGTAAGTTGACATGTAGTTGCTGAGTTTCTTATAGTCAGTTAAATGTCTATTTAAGAAGCAGGTAATAAGCAGAGAATCTACTTCATACTCAAATGGACCATCAAAATAAAGTGTTACCGACATTTTTACCCAGGACCATTTACAAATTTCCTATATTTGTGCAAACAGTAAACATTGGTTTAAAAAATCCTAATCAGCTTATGAATGATAATTGTGACTTCACTGCACTGATCATTGCTGCCTGTTGTAATTCCTGTCAGCGGTGAGCAGAGCACTATCTGGGGTTTTCCCTGTGTAAAATTCCTGCGTCTAGACGTGCTGCACAGCGTGTCAAATGTTTATTGTTTGATGTCTGATGATACTGTGGATGTGGTAATGTGTCATAATACACTAAACACACCTCAATAGATCCTAACATCGATTGGGTTCAGGAGAGATTTTTGTCTTAAAGTTGTCTTTCATTTTCTTTATTCTTTCTTTAATTGACGTTTTGTACATGGTGTTTTTTTCCCTTAATAAATCATAAGTGAAACCTCATTTAAAAAGTGTGTTTTTAAAGTTTTCTAGTACTGTTATATGCTTTGATAGAATGTTGTTTTACATGTACTAAGCTGAAAAGAAAATGAATGAATGTACATTTTCTTACGTGTTTAGCTGTGGACAGTGAGGCATTTAACATGCTACTTGATGTTCCTTCACTGTAAAAAGTGGAAACTTAAACAAATTACTTTGACTTGTCACAATTAAATGAATTAAGTTTGACAAACATAATTTATAAAAGTTTAAGTAATAAATGAAGTTAGTTAAGGTGTAACAGGTTTTAGTAATTTATTCATGGCAATTGTAACTATTGTTCACTATCAATAATGAGCAATACTTGTATTTGCCACAAAACATTGAAGTGTTATTTTTATTTTAATATGGGAAGGGAATTATTTATACTGTAGTAAAAGTATTTTACTGTTATTATTATATTAACAATATTATATTGAATGATTTATACTGTACTGTATGTACTGTTCCATTCTTGTTTTCTAAAATAAATTACTAAAACCTGTTACACCTAAAATAACTAACTTAATTTATTACTGAAACCTGTCATAAGTTAAGTTTGTCAAACCTAATTCATTTAATTGTAAAAACTCGAAGTAGTTTGTTTAAGTTTTCACTTTTTACAGTGTTGGAAGAAGATGATTAAATGATTAAAATGATCAATCTCCCTAATATGAGCTCAGCAGAGTTTGACTCCACTAAACGCTGGCATAAAAATCATTTATATTGTAATTATATCTTAGGATACACATAAGACATCCCCCAAACAATTCAGATTGTGTGTTTGTGATACTACATTTAAAAACAAATGCAAACATGAAGATCAGAAAGGCGTCTGACTGTAAGAGTAGCCTTTTTATAGTACTCATAAAAATTAACCATGAAAATAAAGATCTTTTTCCATAAGAATATTTCGTAGCAGGGAGCGATAGCTCATGCTGTATTTTAAAAGTATCATGTATACAGTATAGCTGTTTTTAATACATTGCCGTGTTAAATGATCTGGTGTTATGTCAGTTCCGTTTCTTGTTGATTTGTAGCACTCGTACGCTGCAGTTGTCACATCCCTGCCTCTTCACCAGCTGGAGAATAGACTAAACACACAGGGAAACATATAGATATGATACATAGTGAATATCTTGACCAAATCAGTTAGATCAGGGGTCACCAAACTTGTTCCTTGAGGGCTGGTGTCCTGCAGATTTTCGCTCCAACCCTAATCAAACACACCTGAACAAGCTAATCAAGGTCTTAGGTATACTTGAAACACCCGGGCAGGTGTGTTGAGGCAAGTTGGAGCTAAACCCTGCAGGGACACTGGCCCTCCAGGACCGAGATTGGTGACCCCTGAGTTAGATCAAAGGTAAAATATATTAAAATACATTAAGTTTTTTAGTACAGCTCTGATACAAACCAAAGTAATGAAAGCTGTATTTAAGAATCACTTACAGTCTGCACAGCCTTCATCGCCGCCTCTTCGTTTTCTGTAGAGTGAATATGCACTTGGATGAAGGCTCTGATATTTTCTGTAAAAGTAAGAAACAATGCATAATGTATTTATTCAAAGAAATTTATTCTATTTGATTATAATCTACTGAAATTACAATTTTTGATTAAAATGAATGTTGATTTATGCTTCTATTTCCTTTTAGCAATTTGAGTTGATAAATACTGGTCAAATGTACCTTTTTGGGATGTTGATGATGATGATGATGATGAAGTATTTTGAATTGATGTTGGAAAGGATGTTAAGGATGTTGAAGATGTTGGTGAGATTGATGATGAAGATAAAGGGGGTGAAGATTGTGGTGATGATGATGAGGTTGTAAATGATGTTGAGGACATCAGTGGTGGTGAAGTTGGTGGTGATGAGGTTGTAAATGATGTTGAAGATGGCGCTGAGGTTAATGGTGGTAAAGGTGGAGAAGTTGGTGATGATGTTGGTAAAGATGGTGATTGTGATGATGATGATGAGGTTGGGAATGATGTTGAGGACATTGGTGGTGATGAGGTTGTAAATGATGTTGAAGATGGCGCTGAGGTTGATGATGGTAAAGGTGGAGAAGTTGGTGATGATGTTGGTAAAGATGGAGATGGTGGTGTTGAGGTTGATGATGATGAAGGTGGTGGTGAGGTTGATGGAGGTAAAGGCGGAGATGTTGATAATGATGTTGAAAAAAATTGTGATTGTGATGATGATGATGATGAGGTTGGGAATGATGTTGAGGACATCTGTAGTGGTGAAGTTGGTGGTGATGAGGTTGTAAATGATGTTGAAGATGGCGTTGAGGTTGATGGTGGTAAAGGTGGAGAAGTTGGTGATGATGTTGGTAAAGATGGTGATTGTGATGATGATGATGATGATGGTGAGGTTGGGAATGATGTTGAGGACATCGGTGGTGGTGAAGTTGGTGGTGATGAGGTTGTAAATGATGTTGAAGATGGCGCTGAGGTAAATGATACTGAAGTTAGTGGTGAGGTTGATGGTGATGAAGGTGGTGAGGTTGGTGGTAGTATAGGTGGAGAAGTTGGTGATGTTGGTAAAAATGGTGATGAGGTTGTAAATGAAGTTGATGATGATGGTGGTAATGATGAGGTTGGAAATAATGTTGAAGTTGGTGGTGAGGTTGGTGGTAGTAAAGGTGTAGACAATGGAGATGATGTTGGTAAAAATGGTGATTGAGATGATGATGATGATGTGGTTGGAAATGATGTTGAGGATGCTGAAGATGATGGTGAGGTTGATGAGGATAAATTTGGTATAGATTGTGGTGTTGATGAGGTTGAAAATAATGTTGAGGACGTTGAAGATGGTGTTGAGGTTGGTGGTGGTGTTCGTACATATAATGAAGGTGGTGAGGTTGGTGGTGGTAAAGGTGGAGAAGTTGGTGATAATGTTGGTAAAAATGGCGATGATGCTGAAGTTGATGGTGAGGTAGATGTTGATGAAGGTGGTGGTGAGGATGAGGTTGGAAATGATGTTGAGAATGCTAAAGATGGTGGTGAAGTTGGTGGTAAGAAAGGTGATGACGTTGGTAAAAATGGTGATTGTGATGATGATGAGGTTAGGATTGATGTTGAGGATGCTGGAGATGATGGTGAGGTTGATGAAGGTGGGGAAGTTGGTGATGATGAGGTTGCAAATAATATTGAGGATGCTGATGGCTGTGGTGAGGTTGATGATGGAAGTGGTGAAGTTGGTGGTGTTATTGATGAAGATGGTAGTGAAGTTGGAAAAGATGTTTCTGAAGAAGGTCCTAAGGTTGATTGTGAGGAATCTGAAAAATATAAGCAGGTATTAATTTATGGTAAGTTAGGTCAGGTGAATACAATAATAAAAGAATACACAAAAGGCTGTAGTTTGTAATTTTTTCTTCATCTGCTTCAGATGTGCTAAAACTAATGAAATTAAGACATTTCTGATAAATGTTTTTACTTTTATTTTAAGACGATTTTAGCAAAAATGAATATTTGATTGTTAAATACTCACTCATGTCATTCCAATCCCATGAGAGTTTTGTTCATCTTCACAAAAACATAACAAATTATATTAAAATGATATTTTAGATAAAATCCAAGATTTTTCTCCTCCCTAGACAACTGTGGTCCAGAGATGGTCCAGAAAAGGAACTGAAGATTGTCAAAGCAAGATTTCAGTGGTTCGACTGTAATCATATGAAGCTCCAAAAACATTTGTTGTCCACAAAAACTGTAAATATGACTCTATTTACCTATATCTCCACCCAAATCCCCACCCAAAGTTTTTAGTTTTTTGAGCACACAAAAGTGTTCTTGGAGGTTTGTATGATTACAATTGGAAGTCACATGTATCATTCTGACAATGAAATATTTAGTCCTTTACTGAACTTTGAATTTCTCTGGACCATTTCTGTCTATGAAGGATTAGAAAGCTCTTGGATTTCTACTAAAATATGTTCATTTGTGTCCCAAAGATGAACAAAAGGGTGAGTAATTGATAAGAGAATTTTCTTGGGGTGAACTAACTATTGTTGATATTCTTTATTTATGCTTTTAGATTGAATTATGGGATCTTGATCTTTCTTCCGAAAACTTTTAACCTTTAAAAGTTAAAACAAGTTAGGTATATTACTGTTTTTAATAGTTTAAAAGTGTTATATTGTCTTTGTTTGTGTTGTTCTGTATTTTACGCTACAGAAACCTTGTATTAAACTGCCAGTACATTCCTTTTATTTTACAGACTTAACTCTCTATATGTTATTTCTTATATTATTTCAAATTATTAAAATGTCAAAAAAGTCACTTTGTTAAACTGTAGAGTTGAATTCTCAACAAGAAAAGTCTACAGAGCATAGATCAACATCCCATAATGAAAATGTAAATGTAGCAATGTAAATAAGCAGAAATCACTTGTGAATCTTAAAATAGGGAAACAATTTTTAACAGTGTAGTTGGCATCATTATCTTAATTTTCTCAAGTTGTTTGAGACGATGTTTAGGTTCTGTCAAGGAGAAAATATGACTTTTTAGTTTTTTTTTTTTTTTTTTTTAAATACAAAATATTCAGACTTTTCCCTAAGTTAGAAAAGAACAAAAAGGCTGAGAAGAAAATTTAAATTTTATTGTGATGTGTTTACATTTACTATTATAAATCTTTTTTTTTTTTTTTCAAAAATTAGTTACAAATGTGAAATATTAGTACGTTAAGGCAATTTTGAGCTGATTACAGTAGATGTTTGTAATATGTAGAGCCTATTAGTCTTACTCTGTTTGCATGTCTGATTGTAGTCGCCACAGCAGTCCTTGGATATGATGCAGAACTCATCACAAAAACACTCTCGGCGACATTGATCATTTCGTCCAGTACAGCAGAGCACTGGAAGACCTGAACACTGGGCTGAAAGTTAAGAGACATTCACAAATTCTTTTTGTTATGTTACTGCTATAATGCTATACAAGCACATTGCTCCTTCCAGTCATAAAATGTATATTCAGAGTCAAAATTCAGCGGAAGAAATGCAACATGACCAAAGAACGAATATTAATGAAAATAATCTGTAGTGCTTACAGTATAACTTTTTTTGTTTGTTTAATAACTCTTTTCAAGTTGTTTTTATTTTTATTCAAACACAACATATCAACCGGATAGCCTTTTTTGCATTTCATTTCTAAAAGTTTTTTTTTCAATTTTTTTTTTATAAATAAATGCACTTGTTATTAAGCTTAAACAATCATTTATACATAATTTAACACTTCCATTATAAAAATTGTAAACTTTTAATATTGTGGTTTTGTGACTAAACATATTACAAGTGTTAAGATGCTTTAAATATCGTCAATGCTTTCTCTCCCTAATAAACATTAGTCTAAAAAAATTGCCCTTAATTATTAGCTTGTTCAGCTGAAGGTGACTTATTATCTTTATAATTTTTAATATGTAACATATTTTTGAAAAAATTTCATATTAAGCATCTTACCTGAGACCCGGTTCCTTCCATTTTGGGACAGGAAAAATAAAAGAATCCATGCATAAGCTCTTGAGACCTTCATTTTAGTCTAGCTAAATTCATACAAAGGGGTTATGTGTGATTTGTAAATCACTAGATTCAATCCCAGTCAAACATCATTTCCTTGTGCTGCTGGATTAAATGTGTGACGAGCATTTGTAAATTTTTCCACATGTACTGCATTCTTTTTTTAGCTTGTTTCCTCTTACCTGGAACCTGACACACATTCCGATATGACACTGCACAACAAAGTGGAAACTTGTGCTCCTCTGATAAAAATCATTACATGGAATTCTGCTTTTGTGTTATGTTAATAGCAGATGAGAAGATAAAGCAGAGATTTATTATATAATTTCTAGCTGAGAATAACTGTAATGAAGTATATTGTTCACAAAATGTGATTCACTTATAACATTTTGCTGCTTACCATTTGCAGCTTTGATAATAAAAATAATAATAGCTATTCATTCATTTTCTTTTCACCTTAGTCCCCTTATTAATCAGGGGTGGCCACAGCAAAATGAACCACCTACTTATCCTGCATATGTTTTACGCAGAGAACACCTTTCCAGCTGCAACCTAACACTGGGAAACACTCATACACTCTTGCAACCACACACATGCACTATACGGCCAATTTAGTTTATTCAATTCAAATATAGTGCATGTCTTTGAACTGTGGGGGAAACTGGAGCACCCGGGGCTCGAACCAGCGACCTTCTTGCTGTGAGGCGATCATGCTACCGACTATGCCACTGTAATGCCCATATAATTATAATTAATAAAAAATAAAAGAGATTATATCTCCCCTGCCCTTGCCTCAGTGCACTGGCTTCTGATAAAATTTAGAGTTAATTTTAAGATCTTTTTTTTTTTTTCACATATACTGTAAAATTGCTAAAAGGAAATATACTGTAAAGCATCGCACAACTCTGTCCTGGTGTACATATGTGCACTGATTAGGCCATACACAGCTTGTAGGCCATTAAGATCCTATGATTAGTTCCTTTTGTTTGTCCCTCGGTCTCGCCACAAATCAAAATCGAGCATTCTGTCTTGCTGCCCCAAGGCTCAGGATCAGCCTCCCTCTGAACATCAGGCTTTTTCCATCACTGGATGCATTTATAGACTTATTTTTACCCCCTTGTGTCCCTAGAGTGATACATGCATGTTATTTTATATCTGTATTTTAGTTTATATATATATAATAAAACTAGTTTATATTTAATTTTTATTATTGTAAAGCTCTTTAGATTAACTACTGTTGTGTAAATTGTGCTTTATAAATACATTTAAATATCTGCCAAATATATATTTTTGGAAGATTTAATGCCAAAATGAAATAAAGGGAGTTTGGAGAAAAGAAATGCCTGAAATGTTTTGTAAAATGTTTTATAATTATAATTAATAATTATTCATATTTATTGAAATCATATAGTATAGACTGTAAAACCCAACAGTTAACTTTATCAAATGAAATGAGTGTAGTTAATTCAAAATTGACTGAAAGTTAATTCTACTCGATTGAAAAGAGTTTTGAACTCGGTGTTGAAGGTAAAGAGTAAATTAAATATCTCATTACTTTGACTAAAATGGAGTAAGTTCACAGCACTCGTATAGAATAGTTTTTTAACTCAAATTGTTTGTAGCAATCGGTTTCCTCAAACGGTTTGAGTTGCCTTAATTGGGTTTTACAGGACTCAGGAGATTTGAGTTCTCTTCATTTATTTTATTTACTCTGCTCAAATTGCTTCGTTTACTCAAATGAATGAAGTTCACAGTACTCAATAGGATTAGTTTTTGATCTTAAATGGTTTGTTGCAATCGGTTTCCTCAAACAGTTTGAGTTACCTTAGCCTTTTGGGTTTTACAGAGTAGTATTATAGCTCAGTGAGAGTATGTATAAAAGTATGTATTCTAACATCAGACTGTATGTAATCATAATCTTATTTTGTTGGCCATAAGAAGGTCTTGCAAAAGTAGATTAAAGAATTCACCCAAAAATTCCACCATCATTTGCTAGGTCTTTATTCGTTTCAAACTTGTGAGTTTCTTCTGCTGAACACAAAATGATGTAACCAATGACTTCCATGGTAGGAAAAATAAATGCTATGTAACCCAATAATATTTTTTTTTTTTCCACAGGATTTGTTTGTCACAGGTTTTACAGGATGAATTTTGAAAAGCCTGTAATTATTGAGTTCCATAGTATTTGTTTTTCATACTATGGAAGTCAATGTTTACAGGTTTTCAACTTTCTTCAAAATATTCCTTTGTGTTCAGACTAATAAGGGTATGGATCCATTTCAGTGTGAATAAATAGTGAGTGATTTTGCATTTTTTGGTAAACTCTGCCTTTAAATCTGTTCCATACTCATATTTTAAACTTCTGGCGCCCCCTACTGGCAACACATTTCCAATTGCAGTGAATATTCTGAAAGGTCTTCTAGAGCAGCTATTATGTGATGTGGAGATGAGAGTCAGTGATGTTGATGTTTTCATGGCTGGGGGTTTTTTAGCACTCGTATCTTGCAGTCTTCATCCTTATTTCGCCTCATGACGGCCTCCATGTTACGGAGAAACTAAAAAAGAACAATGTTACTGTGTTACAATACTTTCTAACTAGGTATGCTGAAGCTAGTGTTAATTTATTAAGGCTTGTCAACTGTCAGTATGAGTGACCTGCTTGACAAAGTGAAGTAGACCAAAAGATTCTCAAAAGCTGCACATCATGCTAACATCCAAAGAAATTTAAAAATAAATGAAAAAAGAAAATAGTTGCAATCTACCAGTCTGAAAAAAATATTTAAAAGCCATTTCTAAATTTTTGGGACTGCAGTGAACCACAGTGAGAGTCATTATCTACAAATGGCAGGCCGGCTGACAAAAGTTATCCCAAAGAACTGCAGGCCTCACTTGCCTTAGTTAGTGGGAGTGTTCATGACTTCACCATAAGATACTGGGCAAATAGTTTTTGCTTGGCAGAGTTTAAAGACAAAAACCTCTGCTGAGCAAAAATAACACAAAGGCTCATCTCAGTTTTGCCAGAAAACATCTTGATAAGCCCAATACTTTTGGAAAAGTACTCTTGAATGTCACTGTGGAATGACAACACAAAAGTTTGGCTTTTTGAAAGGTATATCTCTTATTATTTGTGGCGTAAAAACAACACAGCATTTCAGAAAAACAGCATCGTACCAACATTAAAATTAGGGCTGTGCAATTAATCGAAATTCAGTTTGCATTTCAATTTTGGCTTCTAACGATTATAAAAAAACATTAATCGAGATAAAATGATTAATGCATCATATATCGCCCCCTTTCCAGTTGTACACAGTTGTTGCTCTGCAAAGCTCAGTTTAACCTGAAAATTGCTCAAAGCCTGTACTGTAATGTAACTTGTGCAGCACGGGATGTGCATCATTCATTGATGTACATTGTAATCATTCATGTTTTTAAAAGTGCGAAAGAAATCGCATGCTGTTGTGTGTGTGTGCGCACTCAGCCTCAGGGACGAGCAGAGCACACTCATCTGAAGTCATCTTAATGTGAGCACTTTAATGGTCAAATACATGCAAATTTGTGTCAGAACAAGATGTTTAGGGATTATTCATATTAGCCCTCATTTATGTAATAAACAAGATTTTAAATACATGTGAAAATGAATCCATAAATCAGAACCGTACTGCTCTTTAAGTGACTGCGCAATATTCCTGCTGCCGGCTGTTTTTTTATCATTAATCAAACAACAAAAGGACAAAGTCCCTCACTGCTTTTGTAGCTATAATTAAAGTTTTTTTTTCTTACAGTGAAGATGCTTAAAGCACAGTTTGTTTCATTTTTTTATTGTATTTATTTCCCTTTCCTTAGTGGCAAACAAGCTTTAGTTAATATATTATCCATTGTGTGTGCTATATAAGCCTCGGTATAAGCTCAGAACTTTAAACTAGCACACAGCTTGCAAAACTTTGTTTAGTTGCAGCAGTTTTGTTTCGTGCCACAGAAACGGTGCGTTAAGAAGCCTTTACGATTAAATTACCGTAATGAATTAAAGCACGGTTAATGGTCAAATCGGCTAATCATTGCATCCCTGCAATGTTTAGCCGTGCATTGTACAAAAGGGTTTTTCTACAAACATATCCAGATGTTTTCGGCTGCCTGCATCACTCCCTGAATGTCACTTGACTCGCGCTCTGCGCAGCCTTCAACTGCAGCTCTTGCTGTATTGAACAGACGCATGTCACTTCATAACTTTAGCGACCGTTCTTCAACTGAACTAAATTTATTTTTTATTTCTTGGTCACACTATTTGGAGAGCCAGAATAAATTACCTCGGGGGCTGGGTTCGGCTCGCAGGCCGCCAATTGAAAAGCCCTGCATTAAAGTATGTCAAACATTCAAAAAAAGATATCAGTAAGGGGGAAAATACTTTTTCACACCACTGTATACGTATATATGTGAGAGAGAGAGAGAGAGAGAGAGAGAGAGAGAGAGATTATACGACAGCAACATATCT